GAGCGGCTGGTAGTTTCGAACCGCTGACCTTAAGGTTCGCAGCCCGATTCGTAACCACTACGCTACCAGAGCTCCTTTATATATATATATTTTAAACCCACGAATCAATAAGAGAATGATAAGGACATCCTAGTAAAAAGAGTGGACAAAAGATTTGGGCAGCTGCCTCATGGAGTCATGAAGGACAGCGTAGTGTAGACATCACCAGATTCAGCAAGGTGCAGAAGGGAATGAAAGGCAGGGAAGGCAGGGTGTGTTTAGACACTGGCCACAATGACACTGCCAGGGTGTGAAATGTGTCAAGGCAGGGGGAGATGAAGGAAAGCAAAAGGACATGGAGAACAAGGACAGCGGGACAGAAATCTGAAGAGGGCTCCAGGCTTTGAAAGATTTCATTGACCAGGTAACATTTGTTATTAATGTGTTTCTCTGTTTGTTTGATTTTAAGCAAAAAAAAGTTCTATCTACCAGACAAATGTAACATATTCAAAAGTATACTAAGAACCTGCATACCAGAGTTAAGGCTCTTAACCATGGCCTTCTCTCACAGAATTCCCAAATCTGAGCGCAGAAAATACAAGGTGCTCTACAACTCTAAGCTCTGGTTCCAGCACCGCTTCTTCGCAGACCTGGAGACCATCTTGTACCACGTGCACCTCTTCAAGCCCCTGTCACTCCTCGTGAGGAACTCCCAACTCTATGTCCGGAATTCAGTGCCGCAGGACACCTTCCAGGCCCTGGTCAGGTGAGACTGCTTGGCCACCATCCCCACGGAGAGCCAGGCAGGCCATGTGAGTGCGCTCCATCGTGGGCTGAACAGCGGCCCTGTGAGGTACACTTTGTATTATGCTTTATGCCCAAAGGAGCTGAGCCAGGAGTGGAGTGCAGTTCATGGTGACCCCAGAGCTTGTTTTTTCCAGTATTCTACATGATCTTGTAAGGTAGTTTCAGAAGCTTCAAACACGTATCACGAGTCTACAGTGTCTGCTGTTTTAGAAGAGTCAGAGTGATCACCTGGCTAAGATTTACTTTCCAAGGCGGGGACAGGGATGTGGTGGAACGCTGGACCCATTAGATGTCAGGCAACAGTTTCTTCTGTCAATGGACTTTTTGTTTGCTTTTTTTCTGAAGCCCCATCTCCTCTCTCTCCATCCCTTAAAACCCTTCTCCAAAAATCAGGATCTTTCAGTATTTGTGTGTGCCTTTCTCTGCCCACCTGCGCCATCTCAGCCTTCGGGTGTTAGCGTACACTAACCCCCCTGGGATGCTGCTGGTCTGCTGGGCTGTGAGCCACACTGCTTCCCTCTTAATGAGCCCTTCGTGGAGCACTGTCTGTCTCCTTTGTTCATGTGTTTAGTAGTCACCCTAGTAACCTCTAAGAGAAGGACCAGAGATGTCACACATGGTCCCCTCTCTCCAGGAATCTCCATTTAGAAGGGGAGGCACACAAATAATATAGTAGCGTGTGCTGGGACCCTGTGACAGGCTGCTCTGTAGGCCGCTAAGGAGGGGTTTCTTTGAGGAGGCTCAACAGGGCTGAGTGTGGAGAAGCAGTGAGGTGGCATCATGTGGACAATTCACCTGCTGCTGGGGAAGAGGCTGGAGGTGCAAACCAGATGTTTGTATTTTTAGAGCCAACAGCAGGTCTGGACCAGAGTCTGCCCTCAGTTTAGTGCCTGCCAAATGTACTACTAAGACAGACAGAGAAAAGTTAAAGTTCTCCTTTTATCCCACTCTCAGCTTTACTGAAGGGATGGGCACACAGAGATCGGGAAATCCCAAAGCAGCAGACTAGGGGCTTCAGGTCAGGTAGGGCGAGTGAGCAGCACTGGGCAGTACAGTCATGTGGGGAGGTCTTGGGCATCTGGAGGTCCAAGAGTCTTGAGGACCAGTCAAAAGGAGAAGGTTAGACTCAATCATGTTTGCTGGTGATAAGTAGTAGTTAGGGGTGTTAAGGAAAGCAAAGAAAACGATTTAGTGCTTTCTGCATCCAAGTTGTTTGAATACATTATGGTTTTATTCCTTTCTAGAAGATGAGGATACAGAAACTCGAAGATTAAGTGGTAGACCAAGGTCACTCAGCTAGTAAGAGGTCAAGTCCAAGCTCCAAAGGCATCTGCCTCCCAGCCAGACTCAGACGTAGCTGAGACAGCAAGCTAGCAAGTGGTAGTTCCCAAACACGTGCTCCTGGAGACTGTTTGTGTCAATCACTTGCTGTTGCACACTGGGTCTTGAGAGAGGGCAACTAGGAGTTTAAAAGCTCATTTTCAGGACTGGAACGTGGTCTGGATTGGGGAAAGGAGAACTGTTGGGTCCTTGAACTTGGTTAATAAATGAGGCAGTGCGTGTATTGTCTTCCTCCTGGTACAAGAGGCTTGGAGATCTGCACCCTAGCTGGCAGCACATTGGCTCTGTTCCTTGGCAGGATGTGGTCTGTTGAGAAGCATGAGAATAGACCACAGTACCAGAAAGGTATTTAGAACCGAGCGTGGGGAGATCTTTAACCTTTTCCATCCCCTTTCTGAAGGCATCAGATTTGAATCTGGGCTCTTCAATGGCTAACTCTGTCACCTTGGTGTCAGCTGATCTCTGAGTGGAACAGGGTGGCTGTTGTGTATTTCAGGCTCCACTACATCTGTCATCACAGCACCAAGCTCAGGGATGTGGTCACAAGAGACCTACTGCCTTCCTCTGCCATGATCAAATCCTTGAGTCAGGAGTTTGGGACGCCCATTTCACAAGAAGAGCTTTCAGATGAAAAACTATTGGCCCTACCACCTCAACCTGCCCCCAATCTAGAAGACTTCAGTAGTCGGAAGTTCACCCTTATTTCTGACATTCACACCCACCAGGAGAAGTACCTACAGTGGAGGAGCAGTATGATGCTGAAGAATAAAGACCAGAAGAACAGCGTAATCCAGGTGAGTCCCCAGGCCTTTGCCCCACCTGGGCTGGCCAGTCACCTGCTGAGAGATACAAGGCATATAGCATGTTTTTGAGTTTGGCATCTGCTTTCTTACTGGGCTGGATGGACAAGAAGCACAGGGTTAAACTGTGTCAGAAGTTTTTACTCCTAGGCCTGGCTTTAACACAGCCTTCCTGAAAATTTTCCTTTCGTTACTGATTTCTAGTTTCATTCCACTGTGAAAAGAAGTTTATCGTTTATAATTTAATCTTTTAAAAGTGTATTAAGATTTGTTTTGTGACATAACATATGGTCTCTCCTTTATTCTGGTAACATGGTAATTTTCAAGTATTATACCAGTCTTGAATTCTTGGAATGAATACAATTTAGTTATGATTTATTATTCTGTTCATATATACATGGCTTTAACTGATTGGCTGTTGTCTAAATTTCTATAAAATTCTCAGGGAAATAGATTAAAAACAAAAGCTCCAATCATTCAGTAACTATGTACATCAAGAACTAGAAAAAGCAACTTGAACCCAGACAGGACAGAGCTTGCTGTATGTTTTCCGTTCTTGACCTAGTTTTCTAGGTCTGAAGTTAACACTGGCCTGATACCTGCATCAGGGGCTGGCCCTCTGTTTCTCTCTTTGTGGCTTTTAAATGATGACTCCCGTTGGTTTAATCAATAGGATCATTCAGGTTTTCTCCATCATGGGCCAATTTTACTAAGTTTTGAGTTGCGTTTTTGTAGCAATTTGCCCATTTCATGTAAATTTTAAGTTATTGGCATGAACTGATTTCTAGTATTCTCTTAGTACAGAATCTGTGGTAATGTCCCCTTTTCAACTGTTAACTTTGTTCCATCTGTTGAGATGGTTAACATGTAGGTTAAGGTCACTTTCTTAAGAATTGTACTCTTGGTGTTTCAAAGCTAAAGTTGGTTATTTAGCGCTTTAATAAGCAAATTCAATGTATTTGACAATTTAGAGTGGTCATCTCTTCCTCTTTTCCCCTCTTATGGGTCTCTGTACCTTTCTCTGCACTGTGACATTGTACCTGGTCTTCTTCCTCATTGGCATTTTGCTTTGGAAAGGCAGCCAGTGGGTCATCTTGTTTCATGTGTATTACATGTAGAAAGAAAAGTGCTGCCCTGCCTTGTGTTCCTGTGAGTTAGACATGGCTCCTATGCTCGTGTGGGGGATTCTGAAGTCCATTCTGGATGGGAAAAGATTAAACTAGAAGGCTCTTTTGTCACAGTTCAATGATGAGTAACAGCAATTCCTGATTTCCTACAGTACAGCAACGTCCTAGGGAGATCTCAAATGCATGTTGGTAGGGCCGTGTGTGGTAATGACTGCACTTTTTCTTCAGAAAAATATTTTAGAAGCATATCAGGTCAACAAGAAGCCTCTCGAGTCTGTGGCAAAGGTGATTAGAATTTCAGCCCCTGTCAAAGAAACTGTCTACAACTACAGCATTCAGAGCTTAAATTCCACAGAGCTTGCCAAGAAGGAGCTCTATCGAGAGATGGCCAAAGTAAGTAAGTGAGAGGCCCCGAGTGGGAAAAATTGTGCAACACTTGCACTGCAGACAGAATAATAGCGGTGGCTAATCAGTGAGTTCTTCCCTCTCTGAACACATCTCTGCCTAGAAGTCAGCAGGTAGGGATCTCAGTTGTGCAGAATAAAGCCATTCAGCTAGGGGGAAGTAGATTGGGTGCTGGGATAGAGGCCCCTAACATGGTCAGATACATGGGTGAAAACCACTACAAGTTCTGAAATGTAGTGAGCACACTTGGTTGTTGCTCATGAAAGGTAGCTGTCACCCTCCAGAATGAAAACCCTTGGCTTAGGCTACTAGCACATCTAAATAAACTTTAGAACATGACTCTTCCATAAAAGGAGACAAATGACCTTCACATGGTTATACAGAGCAGAATGTGGTCACGAACAGTCATTACGCCCCCAGCTGTCTATGATACCTGCTGCCAGCAATATCATGCAGATTTTTTTGCCCCTCATTTCCAGGAGCCAAGGAGAAGGTTCACATACTCGCAGGATTACCTTTCAGCTATGGTGGAACCTTACAACTGGGAAGCAGAGCAGAAGAAAGCAGAGAAGAAATCTCGCCAAGCCTGGCTCACTGCTAATGGATTCCAAGTACCGGGTCTTCACTGTAGCCATCATTCCAGGCTGCCACCTGTTAGCCACACCAAAGAACTAAACGAGGTCCATAGGGGGGAGCTGGGCAATAGGTGAGGTGCCCATAGCCACCTCCTTCCTTCTAACTTATGCCCCCCATTTAGGAGTGGAAAGAAAATGCACTGTATGCTAACGTGCTGAAGCCTGTGTTGGACCGGAAGAGCTGGGGCTGGGCCCAGCGTCATGTGGACTTTGATCTATACAAGAAGCCACCCACTTATCTGGAGCTGCCCCCTTCTCCAGCACTGAAACCCAAAACAGGTAACAGACAAGATCTTCACAAAGTCAAACCTCCTAATGCTGTTGGCAGGGATCCAGTGCCACCTAGAATTTTAGCAGTATTCACGTTTAGATATCAAACTTCCTGTGCTGGGAAATCTAGATTCTGACTGGATATATAACAGGCTGTTCATCAGGACACCTAGATTCTAACCTATTAGCATCCAATTGATTCCAACTCATAGTGACCTTAGGACAGAGTAGAGCTGCTATCTATATAAGGTTTCCAAGACTCACTGAGGAGGCCTGGTGTGGCGTCGTAGTTATCCGCATGGTTGGTCAGCAGTTCAGACTCACCAGCTGCTGCTCAGAAATCCTACACAGTGTCGCTATGAGTCAAAACTGACTTGATGGCACTTAACATCCACCACCCTTTATTGAAGCAGACCCCCTCATCTTTCGTCCATGGAAAAGGGTGGGCGACGTTGAACCACTACACTTGAGTAGGACCCTTCCGGATCCTACTTCTTACTTAGGAAACACTAACTTGCTCTGTGATTTAGGGGCAAGTGCCTTCACTGCTTTTTAGGCTTATTTTGTCTATAAAATGGGATAGTTAGGAGATGTTAGCTCTGGGGTACAGAGGTCCTGAGCTTCACTGGGAGCTTCCAACACCAAGATGTTGCCTGTGTTCCACCTGTGGGCTACAGGCAACACCTTTGATGTTTTATAGATAAATCATTCATAGACATAGAGAATTCAACTGTTGTCCAGAAAGGAAGAGAGGGGATGCATTTATCTAGCAAAAAGGTTTGTCTGATCTTCTTCCTTTCCTGGAGATGGCTGGTAACAGCTCCACGAAACAGAAGGAAGCTAAGAAGTTGTTAACATTTTCATTCTTCCATTTGCCAGAATTTGCTTCCTCCCTCCAGAATAGACCCTAGAATTTCTGGGGCTGCATGAACAAAAGATCCCGCTCTCTGCTTGTGTGCCCTAAGTACAGAGTTACTGCTGTGGCTCTTGTACAGAGTTACTGCTGTGGCTCTTGAGGAAGGCTCCAGGTAACAGCTATCCACTCGGAATGCTTACTGTCCACTCTTGCTTATTGGCAAGAGTCCTTCCTAGTGGGCTTCACTGACTGCCTACTTAGGAAAAACTTCAACATTGCAAGTGGGAATAGGCAATTTTTAAAGTCTCATTCCAGGAGTGTCCCCTCCTGTCCCCTGGCACTGTCCAAGTGCTGTCGAATTGGTTCCAATCCATATGAATAGTCATCTTTATATAGAGTTTCCAAGGAACTGCTGGTGAGCTCAAACCACCTACCTTGCAGTTCATACTGACTTGCGTCCAGTGCATTAGCATACAGCACCACCCCAGGACTCCTAACTAATCTACAAAATACTTTCAACAGAAGGTTATTTTTTCCTTTCCTCTTTTTAAGATAAGTGCTTAGCAACCTTCAACCCCAAAATGCCTTCTCCACATGCTGCAGCACTCCCAGACTCCTTTTCACCTATTTCAAGCACCCCCACAGATTAAAGGAGAGATAACTTATATTTGGAGGAACAGTGAAAGAGGTAACATCTACAGTGGGCTTTGTAGAGCCCCAACCACCTAAGCAGCAGACAATTCAGCACTAAAAGCTGAATACCTGCCTATTAAGCACTCTGGGAACCAATCTATGCTGCAAAGGAGAAATGCAAACACCTGACAAGAGTACCTTGTGGTCCTCATTTCAGAGTAGAGACCAATCCATGCAAAGAAGGTAGAAAGACAAGACAAGCACTGGTAGTATATAATCAGAACAGCAATGTAGTGTTACCCCGTCAAATACAAGGGCTTCCGGGGGGCCCTGCTCCTCACTGTGTCATTAGTTGATTCTAAGGAAAAACGTGACTAGCATAGCAAGGGTTAGAAGGGCAAACACAAACTAGGACATTTTATAGTTTTTATTTAATTGTTCCTGGTCTATGTTTTAAGTGCCCTTTATTCCTTGAACAACATGAAGACAGCTTTTATGTTGTCTCTTAGAAATGGCTCCAGGTCTCAAACAGGACCTCACCAGCTTCATTCATACCATGGAGACAGCCACATCAGCCTGTTTCCACTGTAATATCACTATCACCTAAACTAACAACATCCTCAGCAGTCCCGTTTCCTCTCACCCTCATTGAGATGCTCACTTCATGTTAGATACAATGTCTAAAGACAGAAAGCTGCCAGGCAAAGCCTAGAAGAGCTCTCTTAGGCAAGGAGAAAGCCCTTCTGTTTATGCAAAGTCCCTAAGGTCTCTACCTTGTGAAACACAGTGAAAGTTGTCCAGTAGCAACTGGCTGGAAAGCCAGCTGACAGCAGTGCCCTCCACTCAGGATGTCCTGTCCAGAGGGTGAGCACAAATGTAGGCTTGCTTCTCTAGGATTTGCTGGGCCACCTTCTTAATCTGTTGGTCTAGATTTTCTGGAGAATCTGGGAGGAATAAAAAAGGGAGTGGATGATTTTTCTGCACTATGATAATCATACCTGGATGAACCAGGATTTTTGTTTTTTTCTCTCCAACAAAGCCAATCCAACTTCAGGATTCCCTAAAGCAGATCCCTTCACACCCCTAAGACCTCAAAGGGAGAAAAAAGGATAGGCACTTTATTCTGACAAGCCAGGCGCTTGTCCTGTTGAGTGGGGTGGGTAGGAAGAAGGCGCTTTGTGGTGCTCAGCACGTACAGTCACGCCAGCACCTTAGAGATGCCAAGGCCAGTACTCACTGTGACATACAGAATTGTCTGCTGCTCTCCTGAGCTAGTGCCAGAACACTGGCATCCTCCCCCCCACATCACCTGGCAATAGGGAGGATACGAGCGCCTTCAGGCCAACATGACTGCAAGAGGCAGAAGGAGGAGCCCACAAGCCAGGCATTCCAAAACATAGCCAAGGAACTAACAAACTCACCTAAATCAAGTGTAATGCTGCTTGCCTGGGGCATTTTCAAGAATCTGCCCCAGCAAGTTGGGGAGACCCTAGCAGGGTCTAGCACAAGTGAGCTCAGGCCAGTGTTCCCATCTCCTGGGCACTGCTGCAGGGGAGGCCAGGATCCCACTCAACATAGAGAAGTCTGTGAGCAGCTAACAGGCTCTGGGGACTGGACAGCTCACCACCACCAGTAGTGTGGACTCTGGCCCTCTCTACCCTTCCCCAAGCCATCCGACTTACTTTTATCCAGCTGAGACAAGGAGAAGAGGTTCTGGTAATAAGCTTCCATGCAGAAGATGTTGGCCAACAGAACCTGGCAAGACCAACAAGGTCAGAAGGGATGATAGTACTGAGAATCCAGGCCATGGAGTAACCCCTCCCCTTCCCTGTCAACCACACTGGGCAGCTCATCTCAGAAGGGATAGTCTAAGTTCTAATCGCTGCCCTGACCCCAAAGGCAAGTGACTCAACATCTCTGAGCCCATTTCCTGCTCTGCAGTGACTGTAGGATAAGCACTTAAAGAGCCTATGTTGTTATGTGCCGTGGAGTCGGTTCCAACTCATAGTGACCCTGTACAGGGTTTCCAAGGCTGTAATCTTTACAGGAGCAGAAAGCCTCATCTTTCTCCTGTGGAACAGCTGGTAGTTTCAAACTGATGACCCTGAGGTTCACAGCCCGATTTGTAACCACCACGCTACCAGACACCTCTTTAAATGGAGTCCTGGTATGTATGGCACTGTGGGTTAATGCGCTGGACTGCAAAGTTGTTTGAACCACAAGGTTGGTGGTTTAAGCTCACCAGCTGTTCCTTGAAACCCTGTACAGGGTCACTGTGGGTTGCAAACGACTCGCCAGCACTTAACAACACACACCTCCAGCAAGGTGAACAGGTGGGGTCTGCCCTCGATGGGAACAAAAGACGGGTAAGGCCTGCTGAGCTCTGGGACCTCTGTCACTTATCCCACGCCTTTTCTCTCCCAGGTAAGAAGATTTGTAAAGGGAGTAAGCCTGTCTCCTGAGCAGCACTGTGTGCTATATGTAGCCCACCCTCTTGTTGACCACCACTGACACATCCTGCCTTCATTAAAGAACACCAGCACAAAAGCTAGCAGGGGTCACATTTATGACCTGGGCTGGGTAGGGGCTCACCTCGTGGTCATGGTTTCGGAGTCCAATGCGAATTGAACGGCTGGCACGTGACAGGACAGCCGTCATGGCGTACAGGTTGATGAGGATGTTAGCCACCCGCTTCATGACCATCTGCTCCTCCACGATGGTCTAGAACACCAGAAGCTCCAGTGGACAACTGCTGTCCAGGCCTGCCCCCCACCTGGCCCCATCTTTGCTTCAGTAAAGTGGAGCTAATGATTCTTTCTCTTAGTGTTGGATGGGAGTCCCAGTGTGGCACTGTAGGATAAGCACTGCTAACCACAAGGTTGGTGGTTCAAACCCACCAGGTCGCTATGAGTCAAAACCGACTCCACAGCACTTCACAACAACAGTACTGTTGTCTGAGGCTGGCTTTCACATGCTTTCTGTCGTCCTCTCTTTGATCTGTCTAGATTTGGGTAGTGGTCAAAGCTGAGACCAGTGATAGTTCCTGAGGGAGTTTAGTGGCACCTTCTACATACAGCAAGAGCTTCTTCACAGGGCAGGTCCCTTCACTCAGGCCCTTGGGGGGACTGCCTGTCTCCTAATTCCAGGGATCCTCTCCTCCTCTGAAAGGCCCATGGGAGAACACTAGTAGGAAACTACTACTGGATCTCCTACCAGCCAGTTAAGACAGGCCCAGTCCTACTCTCCAACCCTCGATGGCAATCAAACCTGGTCTCTAGAGCCTTTACCTTGATACTCTTAAGTCCCATACAGAAGTTTAACTACAAGGTATGAGAACTGGGGTCCCAAAGGTAGACAGCTATCTTGTGGATGCTGGCCACACCTTCCGGGTTCCAAAGGAGGGCCTGCTGTGGCAGGGGACCCCGTTACCTTGCCAAAGCGGAGCAGCAACATCTCCACGGTCTGGCCAAAGTAATACACATTCTCTTCTAGCTTGCTGGCACTGTCCTATTAGATCAGAACATTAAGACCCAGGTCAGCATCTCTCCTCAGGCCCATCCCAGTCCACCTGCAGAGGGCTAAGGGGCATTTGAGTGAGAGAACAGACAGATGGGCAGAGAAAGAGGTGGAGGCATTAGGATGAGCTGGTCTTCCCAGCAGCAGGACACCCCACCACTCCAACATTTGCCTAAGGCCCACTCACTTGAAGACTGGGATGTACAACGCCAAGCTTGCCAGTCAGTCCTAGGTCCACGGAACGGCTCAGGGAGTCTCGAAGCTTTCGGCCAACTGTCTCCATAATCGTGCTCACGTTTCCCTGTTTAAGCTCCCTGTAGAGAGCCCACAGCTCCATGAGCTGCAGCCCACACTCCAAGTGCACCAACCTTACTCCCAAACTCCCTCAAACTATAAAGAGGCCCTCTCCTCTGTGCCTGGAGAGACAGGTGAGCAAGTCAGCCACATGCTAGTACTAGCTGCCTCCACATGGGCTCCAGCACCACTCCCCGTGGTTCTGTCCTGAGGATGGGGTCAGGGAGGGAAAGATCAAAAGAAAAACTGATCTTATGTGGCCTCCAAGACTGCTGAGACAGCTCTCAATTCCCAGGTTCAGGAAAAACAAGTTCCTTCCGACGGGGGAGACCAGAGCTACTGGTGAGGGGTCAGATGGACTTCCAGATGGGGCTGGAGGGTAGTGTGCTGTAAGCGCTGCCCACAGTGGAAGGTAGGCTCTGGAGCCTGCTTGCTCATTGCTCCTCCCTCCTACTAGTCCAAACCCAATCAGCCTTCAAGAGCACTCCAATGTTGCACTGGGGCAGGTGGAACCCCTAGAAGCCAGATAATGGAAATGGTACCTACTTGATCCTAGTAGTCAGGATGCGGCCAGCATGCTGCAGACCTGTCAAGGCGATGTACATCCGGAGAATCTCATTGGTTCCCTGTGGCCAGCAGTGCAGAGGTCAAAGAATGACCCCAAGGGGGCTGCAGAGCCTGCTCTTTCAGAGCAGCCACCGCAATCCCTCCCGCTCCCACCATGTGACCAGGGAGTTAAGGCCCTGCTCACTGTCCTGCACTGCAGAAGATACTGCTTCAAAAGCAGCATGGAACAAGAGGCTTGGGACAGGCTCGGCAGCAGCCAACACAGGACCACTTCCCTAGGGACCAGACCACACAGCCAGAGTCCCACTGAGACCCTCTCTACCCCAACTACCTGCGTTGTTGCTTTCTCCAAGCCTCAGATTTCCTGGCTTTAAAATAGGAAAAATGTCTTTCCTAATTGGTGAGGGTCAGACCCCTCCAAATCCAGGTCTGAGCCGGATCCCTCAGGGGAGCTGCAAACTGCTCCTCACATGCAGAGGCCCCCCACCCTCCACAACTGTGGGGCCACCTGTGGAGAAGGCCAGCTGTGAACCTCTGCCCCTTTAGCACAATGGTCAGAAAGGAGATGTGGAGGCTTGATTTCTGCCACAGCTAGGTCCTGGGAACCACAAAAGCAGGAAGGAAAGTGGATGCCTCCAGGCAAAACCACCTCTCTTCCTGAACAGCAAGGCTCCTTGATACTGAAACTAGGCTGACCACAGACCTGGAAAACTGAGCCCCTTGTGCCCTAAGGCTGGAACACGCAGAACATGAAAGGGAACAAAACTAGTCACTGAAGCCTGTCTACTTGGTACATCAGGAGTTCTCGAAACCCTGTAAACAGAGGTCAGGCCATCTGAGAAAGCTGACTAGCTGCTTCCTGGTCTCCTGCACACGCAGTGTCATCTCCTCACCACCTGCCCTAACAGCTCTACGCTGCTCCAGGCTGGGCCTCGTAGCCCTGTCTCTGGTCTCATGGCTACAACTCACCTCCACACCGGCCCCAGGGAGACCCTCCCCTCAGGCTGCAAATGCAACCAAATCCTGTCCCACTCTTAACCTGTGTGGTGTCCACTGCCCACCTACCCTGTGCAGCTCAGTTCCCTTACCTAGACACTCGTTTACTCTATTCAACTCACACTACAAGTTAGTTACTGTTTCCCAGTCCTCAGCCAGAAATGCCCTTCCCTAGCCTGGGGTCAGGGTGTGTGTTGTAGGATAAGCACCAGACTGCTAACCACAGGTTGGCAGTTCAAACCCACCAGCCACTGCTCCTCAGAAACCCTATACAGGGTTGCTATGAGTCGGAACCGACTTGGTAACACTTGACAACAGTAACACTTGCTTCCTGAGATCCCATGTCTGCCTCATTGTCTTTCACTGCACGTCTAGCACAGGACACGTGATCAGTCAGGCCCTACAGCAAACATGAGCACCCCAAAGGCAGGGCTGTTTGAGTCATCTCTGTGCTCCCAATCCCCCAGTGCCCCAGAGAGAGCAGCAAGTGGACAAAGAGGACGTGTCAGGGCTAAGAATGCCCCTAGGACAATCAGCATACTGAGGAGAGTTTGCAAGAGGCAGAGCTGGAGCCAGGACTAGACCTTGGGTCTCCAACGAGAAGGCCTCTGCTTGTCCAACTGTATCCAGGCAAAATGTTTGGCAAACAACACCAGCAGCAGGCCACCAGAAGGCAGTGTGCCCTGCAAGGCCCTTAGGAATATGACCCTGAAGGAGCTACTTAAACTCTTTCGGTCTTAATTCCTTCCTCGGTAAGAAAAAAAAGTCTTTGAAGGGTTAAGAGGGTCAAATAAAGAGAGCACATACAAGCCATAGCCCAGGTGGGTCCTGCTGGGGTCTCAGCACTTCTCAGGCCTTAGGACCTGCCTGGTCAGGGAGGCGCTGATAAGGAGGAAGCCATCAGCAGAAGTCTGTATCACAGGGTAACCTAGGGCCACTTACCTCGAAGATGAGAAGGATACGGCTGTCACGGAGCATGCGCTCATAAGGGTAGTCCCGCATGTAACCCAAGCCCCCGAGGATCTGCAGCGCCTCACTCACACATTGCCAGGCAGCCTCGGAGCTGAACACCTGCCAAAGGCCAAGGACAAAGTCAGCACAGGGTTGTTCGTGCTGAATCCCTACCAAAAGGCAGGCCTAAGTCATGAGGGAGGGAGCTCAATACAGAGAATTGGGCTTTGGGATCAGACCCACCCAGGTCAGAATTCTGTCACTTCTTCCTGGATGACACTGGGTAAGTCCTTTTCTGCCCTCAAGCACACTGACTAGCTTATAGTTCTCCACACCCACCTTGACTTTTCAAACCACTGTCTTCTCAGGAAGGAAATGTACTTTGACACCTGGGCAAAGCCCTGCTTTAAACCCATTACAATTCCCCTCTTTCCAGGATGCCTGAGTGTATTCCCTTGACCCTGTTTTCCTCTCTGTGCATCTGAGTAGATCTGCCATACTACAGCCCTGCATTTTCAGGATTCTTTCTCGGTCCATAATTTAAGCCTCTTGAGAGCAGATACTGTCATCTTTAGCCCCAGGCTCAGCCACTGGAAAAAGATCTGCTTATATGCCACATCAGTGGCTCTGTAGGATAAGTACTGGGCTGAGAACCCCAAGGTCAGTGGCTCAAGCTCACCAGCCGATCGCTAGGAGACAGATGAGGCTTTCTGCTTCTGTAAAGATTTATAGTCTCAGAACGTACTCTACAGCATTTGACAACAATACGTCAACTAATGTCTACAGTTACTGCTGAAAGGCTGAGAGGAATAAATGAGTACAAGAGCTTTCATCAAAGTACTGGATAAAAGTCTAAGCTTCTTAGGTGGGCTTTCTTCCTATACTAGAGCTTTGCTTCTCTAAACGGCCGTTCTGTCTCCACTGCCCTCAAGAGTTGCCTGTCCAGAACCCAGTTTAAAAAATAGTTATGGTTGGCCAAATCAGGCAAGGCATCACTTTTATTACAGCTAAAATAAAAACCAGTATCACCCCCAAAATACCCAACATACTAATACCGACTTTAGCCCAATATTCCATAAAAGAAAGTTTTGATACTAAAAAGTCCAAAGGCTATTAAGTCTAGAATGAGTCCTTTCCAAGAAGTTCCCTTGAACTGATACCAAGTTGTAGTTATTGGGTGCCAATGAGCTAATTCTGACTCGTAGTAAATGCATGTGACAGAGTTCAGCCACTCAGACTGTCATCTTTACAGGTACAGACCACCATGTCTTTCCCCCACAGAGCAGGTGGTTCCAACTGCCAACCTTTTGGTTAGCAGCGGCACATTTAACCACCGCATCACCAGGGCTTCTGGATGTAAAGTGACACTGTATTTCCTCTTTTATTATTGCTCAGTGTCATTGAGTCGGTTCAGCTTCAGTGACCCTGTACAGCATTTCTCAGGAGCGGCAGGTGTGTGTGAACCACCGACCTTGTGGTTAGCAGTCTGGTCTTTAACCTACAGTGCCAGCTATGTTTTCTTTTTTGGCTATAGAAAATGTGCTCACCACCCACACTGAGGAAACAATGAACAATGACTGCTCCTATACACTTGCTCCTAGCTGTTACATGATCTGTTGTTCCTCCTGTGCTATTCTGGTCCCCACACCTGGCATGTGTCAATCACAAACTGACCTATGAACTATGGGGAAAAGAGAGAACACAACACTCTGATTTTCAAAGGCTGGACCTAAAAAGCAGTCTTCAGAAGTGGGAACCCACAGAATGGGAAAAAATCTTTTGCAACGACACATCAGACAAGAGACCCATTTCTAAAATATATAGGAAACAACACCTCTACAAGAAAAAGACAAATAACCCAATTAAAAAACGGGCACAGAACATGAACAGACACTTCACCAAGGAGGAGATCAGAGGATGGGCCTGGAACTCTGATCTTCAGGTAAAGGGATAAATTAGTGGATCGAGTGTTTACTGGAAGAGAGAGTTGGACAGACGCGGCAAGAAAGGAGGTAACTTCTGATTTGGGGCGGCCGACAGCC